CGACCGCGTTAATTTTTCGCTTGCCTTTTGCGGTTGATGGATACGCCGGCCATATGGTCAGGACATGCTGGATTTTCATGAAAGTTCAAACGCTCGTTTTTCTCTTTTGGGATCCTTCAGAGCCTCTTCCTGCCAGCGTTTTCTGCTTTTTTTTTTTTTATTTTTATTTTTCATTTCCTCTTTTTTTCGACGTACAATGCGCCGTTGGAACATTGTAACAGCGAGAACGGCGCAACGTGTATATTTTTATGTAATTTATGTAGTAACTTGAATCCGTAGCGAGACTCTGTGGAAAGCTTGCTACCTTCGACGATGAAAATATAATATTCTTACGCATTCAATGCGTAAGATACGCATTTGTTATTTACGAAAAGTGCTTTAAATATTATTATTTCGAAAAAATTTTCTTTCTTTTTTATTTTTATAAAAATTTCTTAATTGTCATTCAATAAATCTATTGGTGGATAGAGATTTGTACAAAATTTAGTGAATATGTGAATTAAGAATCGGTCGAGTTGGCTTTCAAAAAATTTTTATTGTTTATTTATACGCGTTTCGTTCTGCGTTTATTTTGTAAAACCATGGTTTACACATATTGGATTTATTCCACGGTTGCAACGAGAGCACGAAAATGTAAAATTTTTTCGGTGCACGTAAAACGATACCATTTAAAGTGTGCCACATTGTTACTAATAACAGCGCTATTATCTACATATTAAAAAAATTTTTGTTCTTTAGGAAAGAACAATGAAACTTTCTTTTCTATCTACTATACCTTTCATATCTTCCTCATTCAACCAAACTGGAAAAGTAATTTTAGTAAAAATTGCAATAAAATGGAATTTCATAGAACTTGTACAATAATTTTGACAGTTCTTTTATTATCTGAAAACTACATTTTTTGATATTTTATTATTTATAAAAAATCATGGCCACGATGTATAATATTGCACTATATTCATATTATATATAGATTCAAAAGATTCTTTATTCTATGTTTCTTTAATTGTTTGCCAATAGAAAAATAAAAAAATTTTTATATTAAGTTGCAAACATAAATATACTTTTATTTCGTTATGACATTAAATAAACATATGACATTTTTTATTAAAAAAATTTAGTATCGAGAATTAATTTTCAAAAAATGTTCTATATATATCTTAACACCTTACATATAGAACTATAATAGTTGCAACAATAAAATATTCGATAAAGATACAGTTTAATATAGTCATCTATTGTATTTCAAAATATTCCTCTTATCTTCTTTTCAAAAAGAGAAGAATAAAAAAAAGAAATAGAATAAAAAAAGGAAAGAAAAATAAAAAAAAACAGAATTTTCGAAATCTTCCACGCAAATCTTCATATTCATCCAGGAGCAACAAAAGAACAAATTCAAATTCTTCGATATTTCGAGCCGCTCGTCGCTGATCTGTCGCGTCGATAAAAAGAGATCGAAAACGACAACTGGTGCGGTTGTAATGTTGTCGGTTTATTGGTCGCTCGTGAACGTTGTAAGGTTTGCGTGCTTGTATCAACGCCCACGGCGGCCTAGGTGACGACAACGTTTCCGATATATCGAAGTTGAGACGTATCTTCATATTAACCGCCTACGCGAGAAATCGTTTCCATTGTTCAGCAGAGTATCGCATTAATTCGCGAACTCGTATAGAATAATTGATCTACCCACGATGAATCGCATGGTTCCTCTCCTTAATTACACGGACAGCCATTCTGATCTGCTCATCATCTTCATTCGTCGTACCCAGGTTTTGTATTCTTTAGCTCTATCGATAAAACTGTTCGATCGAAAAAGACGTTACGAGTTTGAATTATAGTTTACTCCGTAATTCGTTTCTTTTTCTATTTAAATCAAATTATTCAAATGACGAATTGTTTATTATTTCTAAATGCATTCTCCCCCTCTATTTTGTTCTATTTTGTAATCATGATTACACGTAAAATTCACAGTTTTGTATGAACTTCCGATCCCTCTGGTGGCATTAGCCCGATTATACGAGAGAACGCAATACGCATGCGCAAATATGTGTGTAGAAGAACGAAGTTTCGCGAAACCGGTGCCACTTCAGCCCGGAAAACGATTATTAGTACGGGACACGCCGCCACTTTGTATGCGTGGTTCGTTTCGAGAGGGAAAGTTATGTTATTTTCGGATATCGTCTCTCATACTCACCTGGCACACGTTTTGCGCGAAAGTCTTCGTAACGCTTTGATGCTTTGTCGAAGCGTTTAATCGCTGTAACTCGAGATACATAGCGTTTGGAAACGCCAATGGGTGGCTATGCTCGAACGAATGTGCTTGTGCAATGTTCAACTACTTTGAATTGTAGAAAAAATTTGCTTAGAATTTTGGGAGAAACTTATTTTCGAATAAAGTTTATTTTCAGATTATTTGGTAATAATACAAGATTATTTGGTAATTAAGTAGCGGATAAATTTTTAGGTTAGTTTGTGTGGAAATTTGCATCAATGTAAACACGAAGGTTTCTCTTATTTTTATATTTATTTCATTCTTAAATTAAAAAATTCTTTTAACAAGAACTAAAATCGCATACACAAACCTTGTAACGAAAACGCTAATTTTAAAATTAAATCGAGAAATACTTGAAATCCAACTAAGGCGAAAGTAACCACAAAATCGCAAGAGTTAATCGCTACGTTCCAAGAAAATCGCAGTCGGTTCCTTGGGTGTCGTACGACAGAACCGACAGTAGCCTTCTCTTTCCGAGGATGGTCATGCACGGTGAGTTTACGATCAAGAAAGGAACGAGGGAAAGAGAAGAGGAGGATGTTTTATGTATTCGTTGCACGAACGCCGTTTATTGTTACACCACACCTAACGGCCAGGCCCGAAATTGATGACAATTGCGCGCTGGAAAGGAACACGCCGCGGATGAATCATCTCCCGCGTTCTTTTCCTCCCTGTGCCCCGACCTCTTTGTCTTTTCTGGGACCAATGACTCGACCATGTACCAGAATTAACCGTGATTTCTCCGGAAGACAGGCTCTCGAAAATATCGGCTCTATTTAATCTTGTCATCATATGTCAATTATGCGAATCTTTGTTGGATCAATTTAGTATGGTATGTTAGTTTTGATTATTTTTTTCTATCATTAATCTTCTCATAAACATATCGTTTTTTAGTTGCAAATAATTTAACCGCAAAAAAATTCAAAAGCATCAACTTTCTAACAAACATGTAAGGGATTAATCAGAAGATCGACACGTAATTAAAATCAAAGTCAACTATATTCACGAAACTCTTTTAAACCAAGTATGTATTAAAATTTTTTCCATGCCTACACTAGCATGATATTTATCAGACGCAAGAAAATCGAGATTTTGCTTTGCACAAAGATAGATAGGTCAATGATGTGCCGTATCGTGTTTGCGTCTCGGAAGAAAGAACAGGAACATCTACGAAAGAAGGTGAAATGGACTAACGTGGAAGGAAAGAAAAGAGAACTTGACGATAGCTGGCGCGATGATACGATCTCTCATCAGCAATATGAAGCTAACAAAGCTCGACTGTACTTTTGGTAACCAACAATATGAGGCGTCGTCCCTTTGCTCCTTTCACCGTGCAATTTCTGCCTTTACTTCGATCAAAGAGAACGATTCTCCCGGACAGTTCGGCTTGTTTCGAGTTAGATCGGATTGAGATCGTTCGAGTGTTTAGACACTAATCAACATCTCTTCCTAGCTTTGATTCCCTTTGCTTGATCTTGAATGCCTCAAGTGGGATGATATAATCAGATATATCATAATCTTTTTTTTCATATAATCATTTTTTTAGAATTAAATTCTTTAAACATTGAAAAATACTTAATAATACATATAATAAATTTTTATAAAGATTCTCAAAGTACATAATTTTAATTTAATATCGCATATACGATTCTCTTTCAAAATTTTTGATCTCTTCAGATTAACTTGTCAAAGCAATTAACAAGCTAAAAGATAAAAATAACCATCCCAATTACGTTTCATCGACAGAAAAACTAGATGTCATTTTGCAAAAAAAATCTGTTCTCATTTTCATTTTTTTTTTTCAGCTTCCTTTATTTGAGACAAAAGCACGTTTGCCACGGGAATTCGACAGCGATTCCGATTAAAAAATTACGTTCGACTGGCAACGCCGATAAATATTTTATCCCGGATTAAATGGAAAATCATGTTGGCCGGTGCCCATTGTGCAATCTACGATCCTTGTTCACTTTCGCGTTGTCGTCACCGTGCTCGTCGTCGTCGGCGTCGTCGTCGTTGTCGTCGTCATGATTCCTGGTGTAGAAATCTCTCTTTGCCCGTTTCCTCTTTGTCCTCGATCGACGATTCCCGAGGTCCTTTAATAACGACCATCGGTGATTTATCGACAACGCCACGAAGAGTGGTCCGCCGCAGCACCAGATTCCCAGATAGATGGACACGGTTGGGAACAGGTATAAGTACATCGACCTCCGATCGATTTTATCCCGTGCCTACGGCTTTTCCTCCATGGCCGCCTTCCGCTTAACATTTTCATTTCATTTCGGTGATTCGATTAACTCATTTGCATCACAGGTAAAAATTAAAGATGCATCCTTATGTATCACTGTGAAATTTATTGATCTGATTTAATCTGATAAATTACGACGTAATCTCGTTAATAATATTTGATCCCTGTTTAAGATATACAAGTAAAATGTTAAATGAATATTATTATCAATTATATATTATACATTTAATATATTATATTAATTTTATTAACAATTTGGCCGAACCTTATATTATATCTTGTTTCAGTTGGCTATGTAATAAAACGACGAAATAATGATGGTGCATCAACTTTCTCCTCGCTTTCAAATCATTCCTAATTGAACCAGAACAAACTCTAATTGAAAGTATTATGGAGTAAACAAAAAGGAAATATCCACTTCCGCATCCTGAACTTCCGATCGCATGGAATCCTCGTTAGACACGTGGTGAAATGGAGAAAAGAAAATTCCTTTTCCCCTATATCCGGAAACTGGTCAAGGGAATCCCAACAGAAACAATATCAGTGATTTTCACGTGAAATTTTTCTTTGTCAGATGTTAATCAGCCATTCGATTGATCATAACGATCGCATAAAACGATGATAATTAGAAAACGATCGAAAATCCGAACATTCAACCTATCTATGATCCCTATTAATCCATCCAAGTTCCATTGTACATTCGATAATATTGAATCTCGTTAATAATCGACTCGTCGTCTCGATTGCGATTTTTCTTCTTTATTTTTCTTCATCTTTTTCTCTCTGGTGAATTCAGAATCATTCCGAATCACCGGAAGAATTGATTTTTCTTGCACGACACGGTTCTTTGGATCGTATTCGTAAGATTTTTCGCTTGTCATGTTTAGTTGCTTTGTTGACCAGTGTTGCTTTCAGAAAGTTATAGAGTTTGATATGAAATGCGGAGGAAACATTTTATGAATATTGTTGTTATAATTTTACTACATTTTTTAAAGAAAAAATTGAATTTTTATCTTTTAATTATATTAAATTTGTTTAAATTTTTGATGAATGCATCATGAAAATAATAAAAAAATAGTAATATTTTAAATTAATATTCTATCAAATTTAAAATGTTCCTTTTTCTTTTATTTCTTTATTTTTAAAAAATAATTTATATATTTTCAAAAATATTTTGATATGGAATATTTTTAAAGAATATGTACTATTTTTTCATGTAGTATTTGTAGACAAGAGAAAGTCTAAGCGGGCTATCCTTTCATACATGAAAACCGGAAATTAGTAAACTGTTACTTCATGTAGCAATGATTACAATTACTCCCGTACGTTTGTCAGACTCAACAAAACAATGAAAATTTTGCATGGTGAAAGCGACTAGTACTCATTGACTAGAAGTACCGGATGTACTTACATTCACATAGATTCTACGAGAGCTATCGTTCCGCGATTTTGATTATGAAATATACTTTATTCAAAATTCCATTTCATTCCACGTATCTTTATATTTTAAAAATTATATTATAATTCGATACGTAAAATAGATTCATAAATATAAATATAAGTATAGTCAAATTTGACTAATTTTATTTCAAATGAATTTAACATTTCGAAATAATTTTCTAAATTTTTAAAATTAACTCAAATTTATTCTTTCTATATAATATCTTATATAATATTTATATAATTAATTTTGATTAAAAAAACAAAACAAAGATGAAACATTTCTTAGAATTGTTAATTTGACATAACCTATTCAATTAGCAAGACTCTAATTGTATTCTTACTCTTACTTTTATATAATTTCTTATTTCATTAACCTATACAATTAAGAAAAAGAAGAAAGAAAACTCCATTTAAATCTATATTAACGTTCTATAACAATTCAGTAGCTTGTTAAAATTTTCACATCAATTTCATCGAAACGAAAATCGTCTCGCGAAAAAAAACAAACGTACTTATTCAGTTCATAAATTGCAGATCTGCGCATGCACCTGCGCGAAGAAACTTCGCATGAAGCTTGTACGCGTCGCGCAAAGAGGAAAGTCATGACTTGGTCGTGGGTGGCATGGACCATTTGAACGTACAATGCGAATGCAGTCACGCTGATACGCGTCGCATAAACGCTCTAGGTATTCTCTGTATATATACACATTCACCCTTGTATATAAACTTATAGAGGAAACAGGTTAGAGAGCCACGAGATGGCGCGCATTTACATAGTATACGAAGGTATACGTTTTCACGCCGATTCCACCGGTAGTCGTTGATGGTGGCAAAGTAATAAGAAGCGGCTTAGTCGACAGATTGCCTTTTCGTCCCGTGCCGCGTAATAGTGGCTTCTTTTCCTAACCTGACACGGCTTCCTTCGATCTTTTCAGAGGAGAAAGGAGAATCTCTTTGCTATTGGTCCTCTTCTTCAGAATCGCTTCACAACGATGTCGAATAATACTTTCACTCTCTCTTTCCAGTGCTTTCCTTTGTGCAATTGCCATGAGGATATTTTAACAACACTGTTGATCACAGGAAGATCGTGATTTATTTGTTTTGTAGATTGTGAATTATTTCTAAATAAAATATGAGTCATATGTGTGTTCAGTGATAGTGTTTGTATGTGATTATGTAATTGAATAAATAGATGATTTGAGGTTAGGATCAGAAGCTACATAAATCGTAAGTAAATCGATTAAAATTGGATTGCTTCTTAAAAAAAGAGAATGTTTTAAATTATTTTAGTACGAAAGTTTAATCTTGGAAAAAGAAATATACGATAAAAGGTATACACATAGTTCCAAGATATATTCTATACTATATTATTTAATGTTCTCTTAATTGTATATATGAAACGATTTCATGTGTAAAATTTTGTTTGTGATAAATAGTATATAGTTTATGTAGCTTTCCATAGCGGAAGATGTTAATATTGGGTTAGAAAATAGCTATTACTGCACATTTATTTTTTATTTTATACTTTGATTTTCATTTATAACAATTTAATTATTAAATTGTGAAAAAATATACATTTATTATATACTGTTCTAGATTTTTATAATGATAACAAAAATTTTAACTTATTCCACTTTTTTCTAAGCTTTCCACTTTTTTCTGTCGTTATAATATATTCTGTCTACAATTTTTTTTACACCAGTAGGTACAATTTGTAAATATTTATAAGATTAAATTACACGACTGTATATATAGAAGGAATAGCGATAGTTAAATAATAGTTGCGTAGATTTATTAATAAACGAACCACGTGATTATACGCAATTACACATGCAACTACTCTTAAATCTTAATCTATGATTCATTCGATGATATCAAACATCTTATAAAATTTGTATGTCTTCATTTATTTATTTTTTTTTTGTTTTAAATAATTTCCACTGAAATATTATTAGATTTTATAATCATATTGATAAAAAATTTCATAATTTTCATTTAAATTTATAAATGACGCACTCGCTCTATATTTTATGCTACTTTACAATTATTCTTTTTTTTTTATCTTAAGATCAATTAGGCTAATTTGGACGGACTTCAAAGAACTAAGGAAAACAATAAGTTGCCTTTGTTTTTTCGCGTTGAATTAACCAGCCGCGACGTTTGATGGTCGAATAACCCAGTTTCGCGGTTCAGTGACCAACGTTTTTTGGACAAATGCTGAAGATTTACACGTTTTTAATCTTCATATCTCTTTAATACTTTAATATAATTCATAGATTTGATTAATTTCATTTTTTAATTCCAATTAAAAATGATAATTTCCTTTTATCAATGATCAATGAATAATTATATATCAATAATCGATGATTTGATATCAATTGAGTATGATCCATGTGTAATGATAATCGTGTATCGTACTCGAGGCATCGGGCAGGGAACATGAGGCAAGTAGCGAAGAGAATTGGGCGCGGATGCGAAGGATCGAAAGATTGCATTGCTGATACCGCGTGTTCGACACGCTGCGGAACACGTGTACCGATACAAGTCGAAGATCATCCGCATAGGACATCTTTTTGGGCATGCGCCGTGTGGATGATCGTTGCAAAATCATTCGGGTTTCGAACTTTCGATTATATTAAAATTTTTTAATTTTATAGTAATTAAACGAAACAAATTAATTAAATGAATTATAGATTCTAAAAAAAATAGTAATCCGTTTATTAATTTTTGCTAATAATAAATCTAAAAGGAATTAGAAAAATTAATAACTTTAATTTTACGAGCAAAAGAGATTAATAATAATTCTTATATATATTTTTATAATTCTTATATCTATTTTTATAATTATATATCTTATATATATTTTTATAATTATATATAATTCTTATATATTTTTAAATACATAGTTAAATTTTTTTTAAATTTACCTTTTATATCTCAATTAAATATCGATTAAAGTAATCCCATTATTATTTTCTTCGGATCAAAAAACGAACGATTAGAAATCCGAAACAATAGCCCGGACAATGAAAGATCAAGACGAACCGTTCCATTTTTATTTCTCGGAATGTAGGTCTCCCTTTGTCGCGACGAGTGGTGGATGTAGGAGTGGAGATATCGCAACCCTCGACTCGCGGTGACGTAGGAAAAGTTCGTTTTAAAACGTTAAAATATTGTGCCGCGCCTTGTGATCCGTCTGGATATTCGAAAATTTGCACGTGCGGAAATTGCGAGGTCTGGCAGCGAAGGTTATTCGAAGTGGCGGGCACAATAAAATCGCGGCAGCGACGATGCCATCGAATGGAATCGAAAGTGGGACGGCTTAATCCCAGCCGAAATCTATTCGCGGCAAGATTCATTCTTCGACCCTCTTAGCACAACAATGGCTGCTCCTGCTTCCGTTTCTGAACATATCATGAACCGTTCCACGATCCTCTCGATAAACGCCTCTTCCTTCTTCATCTCTGATCCTGCTCCTATGCCTTCCTATGATTATACGCTTTAATTAACGACTCGGTAACTCGTATACGATTCTCGGATCGTCTCTCCTTTTCCTGGCAGATAATTAAACATTTTACCATACTGCGTGAAAATTATGGTTTTTTATATTTATACGAAAAATCCTTACGATCAGTACATTAAAATCCTGTCTGTTACATTTTTCGCGTGTCTCAATCTTTTTAACC